TGTGAGACACTGTCTTAAAAAAAAAAAAAAATTCAGGTTGTTTTTTATTGTTGAGTTCTTTGTATATTTTGGACATCTTTTATCACATATGTGTTTTGCAAATATTTTCTCCCAGTCTGTGGCTTGTCTCTTCATTTTCTTAACAGTGTATTTTGTAGAACAGAAATTTAAATTCTAATAAAGTTCAAGTACTTTTTCCCCATGGATTATGTTTTTGGTATATCTGAAAGCTTATCACCAAACCCAAGGTCACTTAGATGTTCTCTTATGTTATCTTCTAGAAGTTTTACAATTAGGTCTAAGACCATTTTGACATTTTGAGTTAACTTTTGTGAAAGGGGTTAGGTTGTGGATAGATTCTTTTTAAAATTTTTCCTGTGGATGTCCCATTGTTCCAGCACCATTGCTAAAAAGATTATCCTTACTCCATTGAATTGTCTTGCTCTTTTGTTAAAGATCAGTTGGCTATATTCATGTGGGTCTATTTTTGGTCTCTCTATTCTGTTCCATTCATCAATTTGTCTATTCTTTCTCTGATACATGCCGTCTTGATTACTCCAGTTTTATATTAATAGTAAGTTTTGCTGTCAGGTGGTGTCAGTCCTTCAACTTGTTCTTCTTCAGTGCTATGTTGGCTATCTAAATCATTTGCCCTTCCATATAAACTTTAGAATCAGTTTGTCAGTATTCCCAAAATAACTTCCTGGGATTTTGATTGGGATTGCATCGAATCCATATATCACATTGGGTATAACTGACATCTTGATAAGTATTTTGTTCGATTTATGCCTAAATATTTCATTTATTGAGGTGCTAAATGGTATTCTGATTTTAATTTCAAGTTCTAATTGTTCATTGCTGATATAAAGGAAGGCAACTAACTTTTGTATATTAACCTTATATCCTGAAATCTAGCTATAATCATTAGTTCCAGGAGTTTCCTTGTTGATTTAAAAAATTTCTCTAATAGTTAGTTTTCCTAACATATAGTTTCATATAACAATTTAGAAACTGATGTTTTGAATTTATACTTCAAGTATTTGTGAGTGACATAATAATATGATGGCTGGAATTTGCTTTAAAATACTTAAAATAAAAAATAGTGATGGGGAGATGAAACAAGATTGCCAAAACTGAAATTAAGGAAGCTGTGTGATGGGTAGGTATCTGGGATTTCATTATACTATTTTTCAACCTTTGCATACCTTTGAAAATTTCTAAAATTAAAAAATTATATGTGAAGAATGGACACCTTATTTGAGATTACAGAGTTTCTTTTGATCTTAAAAGGAAAATTTTTTTTTTCTCCCCAACCTTTCTTTTCTATTCTCCTAGAAGGTATATAATACATTTTAGAGGAGTACTGATTGAATAGATGGATAAATGGATGCATGTGTCTTATCTTTTTCTTCTCTTCATTTAAACCTTTAACCTGGCACCAGGAATAGACTGGAAATTACCATCACAGAGGACCAGAAATATGATAAACCTGTGTGCTGCTCATTTTAACACCTCAAATGTGTTTGTTGATGATAGTACAATTTTACATTTTGGTATTATTCTCCTATAAGAATCATGGTGAGTGAATAAATTCACTAATTTTCATAAACCTCCCCATGAAGTAGATGTTATACCCATTTTATAGAAGGAATTAGCAAGCCCTTAGACTTGACCACAATAATACAGAATCACAGAACCTCAGAGTTAGAAGAGAATTTATAAGTTATATAACTCCACGTTCTAACTAATGTGAGAATCCATCCATAACAATGATCCATTTCACTCATTTGGGCACTTTTCTAGGCACAGGAGATATAACAGTTAAAAAAATGCAAAAGTTCCTGTCCTGGGGCCGTGCGCCGTGGCTCACGCCTATAATCCTAGCACTCTGGAAGGCTGAGGCGGGAGGATCGCTCAAGGAAGGGGGTTCGAAACCAGCCTGAGCAAGAGAGAGACCCCGTCTCTACTAAAAATAGAAAGAAATTAATTGGACAACTAAATATATATAGAAAAAAAAATTAGCTGGGCATGGTGGCGCATGCCTGTAGTCCCAGCTACTTGGGAGGCTGAGGCAGAAGGAGCGCTTGAGCTCGGGAATGTGAGGTCGCTGTGAGCTAGGCTGATGCCATGGCACTCTAGCCCAGGCCACTCTAGCCCGACAGAGTGAGACTCCGTGTCAAAAAAAAAAAAAAGTTCCTGTCCTCATGAAGTTTACATTCCAATGGGGGAGAAAGGTTATGAACAAGTAAAAATAAGTCTGATGATGACAGGTACACAGGATTTGCTGATGGATCAGGTGTGGGGAATGAGAGGAAAAGGAGCCCAAAATGACAGCACTGTTTTGGGTGAATGGAACTGCCATTTACCCAGAAGACGGTGGGAGTAGCAGAGCTGAGTAGGAGTGGATGAAGATAGGAATTTGGTTTTTGACATATTGATGTTGAGGGGCTTACTAGCCACTGAAGTGTAGATGTCAAATAGGCAGCTGGCTGTATAGTCAATGCATCGCTTAATGACAGGAAACATTCTGAAAAATGTGTCCTTAGGCGATTTCATCTTGGTGCAAACATCATGGAGTACACTTACACGAACCTAGATGGTACAGCCTACTACACACCTAAGCTACATGGTATAGCCTATTGTCTGTAGATTACAAAGCTGTACAGCATGTTACTGTACTGAATACTATAGGCAATTGTAATACAATGGTAAGTATTTATGTATCTAAACATATCTAAACATAGAAAAGATAATATATTGTGCTACGACAGCTATGTCATTATGAGGTGATAAGAATTTTTCAGCTGTGTTAGAATCTTATGGGACCACAGTCATACATGAGGTCCATCACTGACCAAACATTGTTATGTGGCACATGACTGTATATGAAACTGAAGTTCAGGGGTGAATTCCAGGCTAGAGATAATAGTTTGGGATGCACAAGCATGTAAGTGGTAATTACTGAAACAGGATGAGGACACCTAAGCAGTAACTCAGAGAAGAAAAACACAAGGAACGAACTCTGGGGGTTTTCCAACATTTAGAGGTTGGGAGGCAAGGAAAAAAAAAAGCAATAGAGATTGAGGAGGAGTAGCTGATGAATTAGGAGGAAAATCAAGATAAAATGGTAGCCTGGAAGTCAAGGAAAGACAATGTTTCAACTAACTATGTTAAATGGGCTGATAGACCAAGTAAGATAAATAATGAAAACTAAATCCTAGGCCGGGCGCGGTGGCTCACGCCTGTAATCCTAGCACTCTGGGAGGCTGAGGTGGGAGGATCGCTCAAGGTCAGGAGTTCGAAACCAGCCTGAGCAAGAGTGAGACCCCTGTCTCTACTATAAATAGAAAGAAATTAATTGGGCAAATAATATATATAGAAAAAATTAGCCGGGCATGGTGGCGCATGCCTATAGTCCCAGCTACTTGGGAGGCTGAGGCAGGAGGATTGCTTGAGCCCAGGAGTTTGAGGTTGCTATGAGCTAGACTGACGCCATGGCACTCACTCTAGCCTGGGCAACAAAGTAAGACTCTGTCTCAAAAAAACAAACAAACAAAAAAAAACTAAACCCTAGAGTTAGCGATGTAGTGTTATCAGTAAGCTTGAATGGAAGGCTCAAGAGTTACCAGGAAGGGGGAAAGGGAAGACAGAGGTCATAGGAAACTCTTTCAAGGAGTTTTACTGTAAAGGGAGGCTGAGGATTGGGACACAGTATCTAGAGGAGGATGTACAGGCAGGAAAAGAGTGTTTTTGTGTGTGTGTTTTTTTTTTTTTGGTAGAGACGGGGTCTTGCTCTTGCTCAGGCTGGACTCCAGCTCCTGAGCTCAAGCAATCCTCCCACCTTGGTCTCCCAGAGTGCTAGGGTTACAGGGCTGAGCCACCGTGCCTGTCCTTGTTTTTCTTTTTTAAATAAGAGAAACTACAGGATGTATGCATATTCATAGGAATGATCCAGGAGAGAGAGATACCTAGGAAACAACAGCAGAGAATGAAGCTGTTTGAGATACAAGATAATTGTTATGAGTAATAAAAACAGATATGGCTGTCATTATTACAGTTTATTGCCTATGGTTATAATTGAAGTAAATGCAAACTTTCAGTTAGGGGTGAGCAAAAATGATATGCAATGTTTTTCCCATCCAAGTTCATGAGACCCTTTAGTTCTAAGGTATGATCATGAGAGTATGTGGCTAAGGTAGGGTTAATGATAAGACCATTGGAGGAGGGGACATGAAGGAACTGAGAGGCTGGGGTATTAGAGAAATCATGTATGTGGATAGAGAAATCTGTGGGAATTCTGAAACAGTAGTCCTGAAGGAAGTGACAATGAGCTGGAGGCTAATATCTCAGCTCTGCCTGAGCCAGGGCATCCCCAAAAGCATGAGGCAGCGTATTCTACTTTGGACATTTGTAATTATAGGAAACTTCTCCTTTAATCTGAATTAAATTCTGTCACCCTAATACTCCAAATCGTGCTCTTTGCTCAGTCTCCTAGAACTCTTCAAGATGAGGCTAATCCCTCTGACTTAAGTTAGTTCTTGAAGCAGCTGAAGACAGTTCCAAGCAGTCTCTTTTCTAGGAAGAAACTGTCAGGTCTTTCAGCTGTTCCTTATACATCGCAGTCTCCAGGACTTTCCCTATCTTGGTTGCTCTCTTTGAGATACACTTGATTAGTTGACTACCTTGGGTTGACAAAATCTGTGGCATGATCTTCTGACGTCCCTTCTGTTATTCAAATCACTATGGTAATTAATAAATACTTTATTTTGCCAAGGTGGGTGTGGGCACAACACTGTTACTGAGCAACAGCAAAACATCTTATACAAGTTACACAAAGATGTTTCCCTTTTATAATCTGCAGCCTTCTGCTAGCCCTGCTAAATTCCCAGTGATTAACGTTATGGCAGTGGAATTACTGACAAGGAAAAACACTAAGGTGTTAATGTTCCTAATACAAGGCAGAAAATACTATGAATTAGCACATCAGAAGGAGTACTTACAAGAATATCGGTATTTTCAAAATAATTCCTCCAGTATGGTCTGATTTTCCTCTGTCCACCAATGTCCCACACATTCAGTTTAAAACCTTGTGACTGTACACTTTTGATGTTAAAACCCTGAAACAGACAGGGGCAAAAACATCAAGTTTTATTAAAGTTGAAGATTGTAATTCTGACAATGTTACATTTAATAGCTATGTTTTTAAAATTAATTCTGAAGTACTCTGCCAGATGTTATACTAGTAATGCTGAAAATGGCATGCTGTGACAGAAATAAGAAACATATCTGCACAGGCTATTCCATTACAGGTTGTGGAGTCAGTGTTAATGCCACAGCTAACATGATGTTTCCTATTAATACAATGAAAGATAGATATATATAATCGCTAAGGACAACTCGGTATGAGAATAGCTCTGATGATCAATTAAACGACATAGGCCACACCCCTGATGAGGCCTCAGGATGGCAAAATTTGAGAGGACATCACATACAACTAACAAAAACAGAAGCTGAATCTGAAGACTCAACAGAAAAGAACAAATGCTATAATAAATCTAAAAAGAGGAAAGAACTATAACTCTGGAGGATTAAATTCTTTAAGAGCAGGCCGGGCACCATGGCTCACACCTGTAATCTTAGCACTCTGGGAGGCTGAGGCAGGAGGATCACTCAAGGTCAGGAGTTCAAGACCAGCCTGAGCAAGAGCAAGACCATCTCTACTAAAAATAGAAATAAATTAATTGGCCAACTAAAAATATATAGGAAAAAAAAATTAGCTGGGGCCGGGCGTGGTGGCTCACGCCTGTAATCCTAGCTCTCTGGGAGGCCGAGACTGGCGGATTGCTCGAGGTCAGGAGTTCAAAACCAGCCTGAGCAAGAGCGAGACCCCATCTCTACTATAAATAGAAAGAAATTAATTGGCCAACTAATATATACAAAAAATTAGCCGGGCATGGTGGCGAATGCCTGTAGTCCCAGCTACTTGGGAGGCTGAGGCAGGAGGATTGCTTGAGCCAGGAGTTTGAGGTTGCTGTGAGCTAGGCTGACGCCATGGCACTCACTCTAGCCTGGGCAACAAAGCGAGACTCTGTCTAAAAAAAAAAAATTAGCTGGGCATGGTGGTGCATGCCTGTAGTCCCAGCTACTCAGGAGGCTGAGGCAGGAGGATTGCTTGAGCCCAGGAATTTGAGGTTGCTGATGCCATGGGACTCTAGCCTGGGCAACAGAGTGAGACTCTGTCTTAAAAAAAAAAAAAAATTCTTCAAGAGCAGCTCAAAATAAATTTCCTCATATGGATTAATCAGGAAAAATAGGGAGCTGAACTGAGGCCCCTATGGGGAGGCTGGGTTTGTAACTGGAGCATCAACCCAGTGGGGAGGGGCCTGCTGGAACAGCAAGCTCAAGCTGGGGAGTGGAGCCTTCCCTTGTAGACAGCAATGGAAACAAACAAGTGGTCATTTAAAACTGTGCTTTAACAGGTGACTGATGAACTTGAAAGTGTTCATTTGTAGGACAGTTATTCAAGGTGGAACTTTGAAAAAGGTGAGCAAATCAGGGACAGGCAGAATTGCCAGTGGGGAGTTAGTGTGGAGAGAAACAAATTAATGAGACCTTTGGGGTTTGAAGAGAATGTATTTCATGAGCAAGAATCAAAAAAAGTCTTCTTGTAAGAATGGTAGCAGGAAACCAGGATTTGAAAAATCCAATCAACAGCTTGCTACTATAGAAGAGACAAATCCATCCAGAGCAACTGGAGTTAAGTAGGTCTAGGGATACCTCCATAAACATTTGTCTCATCTGGCAGCTTGCCAACACTGCTGCCTAGCACAGAAGCGTAAGGCACAGTGCAATGGCACAGGAACATTGCCACCCAATTCCCACTGAGGATAAATAGTCACTAGAGGATAACTAGAGATGAGGCTGACTACATGCCAATGACTGAATCAATCAGAAGTTTAAGAATTCTAAAGGAAATGTCTGAAACTTATTGTAAGAGACAGTTTCACTGTGACTCATTGAGAACATTACTTTTGCGTATTTAAAAATTTTGAGCCAGGCGTGGTGGTGTGTGCCTGCAGTGCCAGTTACTTGAGAGGCTCAGGCAGGAGGATCGCTTGAGCCCAGGAGTTTGAGTTCACCCTGAGCAACATAGCAAGACCTTGTCTCATTAAAAAAAAAAAAAAATTCTGCATTCAACAATGATATTAAATGTCAAACCCAGTAATACCAAATCCTTCCTGGAATAAAGCAGGGAATAAGTAACAGTAAATCTTGGAATTTGACTGTATGTATCAACTGCCTTAAACTTCTGTTAGTTATCAGACCCAACACATCTACTAGGAAATTTTTAATATTCCAAGGAAATAATAATGAATGGGTCCAAACATTTAGATATGTATATTACATAATCACACATATATAACATAGAAAGATATTTATGATACATTAAGTAAAAAAGATGATATAAAATAGTAATATATATAAAGTAGTATATTCTCTATGACCATTTTAACTTTTTATTTTAAATATATCCATCATATATATATATACACACACACACACACACACAGAGGAGAAAAACTTTTTTTTTTTTTTTTACAGCATCTCTAACAGTTGGAAGAAAAACTTAATGGATACATTGGTAAATGTGAAAAGTAGTTATCTCTGGACATTACAGGTGACTTCTAGTTTCTCAATTTTATTTATTTATACTTTTTACATTTATTATAATGAGTATCTATTACTTTTTCTAATAAAAACCAAAAATATAATAAGTTTGTTTTTAAAGAGTAAATATGAAACCTTGACATAATATAATACCAGAGTCACCTGTAACACATCAAACAAAGCCTGAAGGTTAGAACTAGAACTTTGGGTTTACAACTCTGAGTTCATTTATATGTTTGTAGTGTGGAAGTCATTTTAGCGTTCTTGAGAGATAGTCTATCGTTAATATTAAAAAAACAAAACCCAAAAAAAACTAATCCTTCTTTTTCTGGCAGAAATCCTGACACACTAATATGTGTTTTCAGCCCGGCTAGGCTAGACTACTATAATTTGCTCCTCCTTGAGCTATACATTAAATTTGTTCAGAAGCTGTAAAATTGTTCATTTCGTAGCAGTTGAAATGACTTTTCTGCAAAGAGTTGCGAATTGGTAAGATTCATAGGCTGTGAAGTACACACGCCAGCCCAGCCATTCAAACCTGACACCAAGGTTTTATAATAGTACAGTGACCGAAAATGCTAAATAACTCTGGTTTTGCTAAAACTTCTAATGCTGAAACACTTTAAAGTGACTAATACCAACAGGCTGTCCCTGTCAGCTTGGTCAAAGGTCAAGTTGTCTCAGGATTTCTTACAGGGAATGAGGTCTAAAGAAGCCTACTAGAGTTCTTCTAATCAGGACTTGTCTTTAAACTTTCACACTATGAGCACAATTGCCTTAGCCTTTGTGCTTTGCTTGCTTGGCCTTAGGAAAAAGGAAGGTTGATGAGGTTGGATTCAGAAAGGTAATTGTTTTTTATTTAAAAAGTTCATAAATGCTTGTGTTTATTAAATCTGAAAAATACATGGTTTTTCTCAAAGTATCCTTTATTTTTTCCTTCTATTTACTCCATGTATTAATTTCATAATCAGAGAAGATAGAGCTATTTTTTAAAATATAGGTAATCATTTAGGTTTGAGAGAATTATCTTGAATTCTATATATATACATAGAGAGACATACACACACATATATATATGAATGTATATATATATGTATATATATATATATATTTTTTTTTTTTTTTGGAGACAAAGTCTCAGTTCTTTTTTTTTTGTTTGTTTTGGAGACAGAGTCTCACTCTTGTTGCCCCAGCTAGAGTGCTGTGGCGTCAGCCTAGCTCACAGCAACCTGAAACTCCTGAGTTCAACCGATCCTCCTGCCTCAGCCTCCCGAGTAGCTGGGACTATAGGTATGTACTACCATGCCCAGCTAATTTTTTCTATATATTTTTAGTTGGCCAATTAATTTCTTTCTATTTCTATTTTTAGTAGAGATGGGGTCTCGATCTTGCTCAGGCTGGTCTCGAACTCCTGAACTCAAAGGATCTGCCCACCTTGGCCTCCCAGAGTGTTAGGATTATAGACGTGAGCCACCATACCCAGCCTATATATATATTTTTTAATTGTGATAGAATATACTTAACATAAACTGTATTATTTTAAAAGCATACAGTTCAGTGGCATTAAGTACATTCAGACTGTGTGCCTCCAACCACAGAATTCTTCATCTTGCAAAACTGTACCCATTAAATAATAACTCCCCTCTCCCCAGCTCCGGTAACTACCATTCTACTTTCTGTCTTTATGAATCTGACTACTCTAAATGTGAATGGAATCTCTTATATATTTTTGAAATCTAATTATTTTTAAATTATATAAACTTTTCTCAGAAACAAAACTTGGAAGTGGATGAAACTATATTTCCCATTTTGTCTTTCGCATTGCTATTATCATTTTCCTTGTGTCACACAGCATGTGGAGCCAAGGCAGTGCTCACCTGTGTAGGTGTGATGTGGCTGATGTCCTCAGATGCAAGCTGCTTCAGAAGAGTAGTCTTGCCAGCATTATCCAAGCCCAGGAGAAGGATTCTCACCTCCTGGTCTGGTGCACTTTTCAATTTGCGCAAAATTGAAAGTAAGCCCTTGAACAACCGTGAAGGAGAGAGATTACTTTGGCGGCACTGACTTTGATATTACTGGACATCAGAAAAACTTCTCCTCCTTGAAAAAAGTTCTTGGTTATGGAGAGCTTATATTATTATTTCCACTTTAATGTCATTTATTCCATTTGCTTTCTCCTTCTAAGTTTTGGTTAGAAGTACTGTAGTAAATTCAGCAACTTAATAAGCAGCATGGCTTATTCCTACTCTTTCTATTAATCCAGTTTAGCAGTCACCCCAAATCTCCTGAAAGTGTGAACTACTACCCTGTCTGTGTTTCTGAAGCTTTGTATACACTTCTCAGAGTAGGACACTGATCATAGGAGACTAGGTCATTGATTTCTGCATTTTTCTCCTTTACTGAAGTTTCTTCTAGGGAAGTGCTATAGCTTCTGTCTCCCACAATGCCTGACACTTATTAGATATACACCAGATAATACTTGTGGAATTAAATAGAATTACCTACCTAAATTAATCCAAGGTTTTAAGATGCTATACAAAAAGACATAAAAGGCTATATAAAATTATAGCTGGGCTTCTCTGTATAAGACTTTTATCTATTCCAGTCCACTTTTAAGACTTCTTTATTCAAAATGCTCTACCACCACCTAACTTTTACAAGATCCTACATGATAGGTACCTGGTACAGATTTTCTGTTTTTCAGATTAAAAATCTGGTACAACAGAGAAGTCAGGGAATTGTAAAAAGCACTCATAAAGCTAAAAACATAAAAACATTTATTTTTTGAGACAGGATCTTGCTCTCTTGCCCAGACTAGAGTGCAAAACATCAAAATTTAAGCAGGGTATTTTTTACTAGTAAGCTAATATTTCTTTTTTTTTGGAGACAGAGTCTCACTCTGTTGCCTGGGCTAGAGTACCCTGGCGTCAGCCTAGCTCACAGCAACCTCAAACTCCTGGGCTCAAGCAATCTTTATGCCTCAGCCTCCTGAGTAGCTGGGACTACAGGTATGCGCCACTATGCTCGGCTAATTTTTTCTATATATTTTAGTTGTCCAATTAATTTCTTTCTATTTTTAGTAGAGACGGGGTCTCACTCTTGCTCAGGCTGGTCTTGAACTCCTGAGCTCAAACAATCCATCTACCTTGGCCTCCCAAAGTGCTAGGATTACAGGCATGAGCCACCACGCCCAGCCACTAATATTTCTGTTTCTTGTTTTATTCATTTTATTTTACTTTTTTGGCCTGCCTACATGTCCAATATTCATTTTATTTTTAATGGATAGATATAAACCATGTTAGTTTCTAGCTAAGAACGTAAGAAAATTTTTATATAATAGTTATTTGTTCTGTCCTGCAGTTGACAATCTTGTTCTAATGAGGCATAGCTACAAGAATCAAAGAATTCCAGAGCTTAAAGGGCATATAATCTAATCTCCCAGCCTGAGAAGAAATTCCTTGATACTGGGTCTTAGAATTACATAAAATGGTTATACTTGTTATCCACATTGCACCAGGCAATAATTCAAACCAGTTTGTTCACTAAGATCAAACGATACTTCTGTGAAATAATTCTCAACAATTGGGTCTGTAGACAACAATATGCAAATATGCATAATTATTAAGAATTTCTTTCTGCTTCAGAGACTCTTTGTTTACCACATCTAGCTCTGTATTTGCACTGACTTGCTAAGGACCACATTAACCTCTCTATGCTTTGACTTTTTTCCAGCAATAAAATGGAAGGTTTAGTCTAAGATGGGCAATTTCTGAACCAAAAGATTTGGGGGAGTAAGACTGGATAGATTTGAAACAAACAAAATATAGTCAGGACTTTTTATTTTTTAAAGGCAGGACTTTTTTTGCTTTTGTTTTTCTTATCTGGTCTTCAATACTTCAACACCATTCCTTCTTCCTCTTCTTATTTATTTATTTATTTTTTAAGAGCAAGGGTCTCAGCCGGGCACGGTGGCTTACGCCTGTAATCCTAGCACTCTGGGAGGCCGAGGCAGGCGGATTGCTTAAGGTCAGGAGTTCGAAACCACCCTGAGCAAGAGTGCGGCCCCGTCTCTACTATAAATAGATGGAAATTAGTGGACCAACTAATATATATAGAAAAAATTAGCCGGGCATGGTGGCACATGCCTGTAGTCCCAGATACTTGGGAGGCTGAGGCAGCAGGATTGCTTGAGCCCAGGAGTTTGAGGTTGCTGTGAGCTAGGCTGACGCCATAGCACTCACTCTAACCTGAGGAATAAAGTGAGACTCTGTCTCAAAAAAAAAAACAAAAACAGCAAGGGTCTCACTCTGTTGCTCAGGCTGGAGTGCAGTGGCTCAATCATAGCTCACTGCAATCTAAACTCCTGGGCTCAAGCAATCTTCCTGCCTCAGCCTCCTGAATAGCTGGGACTACAGGCACATGCCACAATGCCCAGCCAAATTTTCTTATTTTTTGTAGAGACAGGGTCTTGCTATGTCACCCAGGTGGGTTTCAAACTCCTGGCCTCAATCAATCCTCCCACATTGGCCTCCCAAAGTGCTGACATTAAAGGCAGGAGCTACTACACCAGGCCATCATTCTTTATTAAAACTATATTTATAAGCAGCTTTCCTAGTTTCTATTAGCTATATTGCAATCATTTATAATAGCACCTTTCAGAACAGTTAAAATTAGAATTCTGAGATCCTCAGGGGACTGGTGACATAAAAAGGCTAAGAACAGGGAAAACACATTGTACTACTCATCCTGAGATCATGATTGGAGGTAAAAAGAAAGGGTCTCATTACCTCCTATAATAACTTCTAAAACAACTGGAATTCATCAAATTAGTACGTTAAATGACATACAGGTAGAGTTCTTCTCATGCATTATCCGCTAGTATTGAAATTGTGAAAGTAGATCTGTTTTTATAAAATAGTTTCAAAGTTTAAAATTGATGTTCTTGGTTTTTCATGTCTTTTTTTAAAAAAATCACTAAATAAAAATATTCTTTTCTGAAAGCTGAGACTTTTTATATTCTCTCTCTCTATATATATGTGTGTATGTGTGTGTGTGTATATATATATATATTTTATATATATATATATATGTATATATATATATATATATATTTGAGACAGAATCTCACTCTGTTCCCCAGGCTAGGGTGCCGTGGCGTCAGCCTAGCTCACAGCAATCTCAGACTCCTGGGCTCAAGCAATCCTCCTGCCTCAGCCTCCCAAGTAGTTGGGACTACAGGCATGCTGCACTATGCCCGGCTAATTTTTTTTCTATGTATTTTTAGGCGGCCAATTAATTTCTATTTTTAGTAGAGACGGGGATCTCGCTTTTGCTTAGGCTGGTTTCAAACTCCTGACCTTGAGCGATCCACCTACCTCGGCCTCCCAGAGTGCTGGGATTCTAGGCATGAGCCATCTCGCCCAGCCTACTCATTATATTTGAAATTGAATAATTAAGAGAAAAACATAATTTCTATTCATCTGAAAAGAAAAGGAGAGAATCAAAGCACAGATGAGAAAGAAATCATTCTAATTACAGGTAAACTTTATTAACCTGATGGTATAGAATACAGTGCTACTACATTTCCAAAGAATAGTTTTCCTTATTAGGAAACAATAACTTCAGATGCTTCACCTTTAAGTGAAATTACAGAGAAAGCGAAAGTTCAGCTAATATTTTCTTCAGCAAAATGATAATGACATCTCAAGCATGGTCTAGGCAAGACAAGTGCAAATACAATACAGCATCATATTAACCCAACTACTAAGGACAGGGGATCACAGGATTATCAGGGTTTGCTAAATAGGGAAGAGGATATTTATAGATGTCAGGGTTCTGCCTGAAAGATACAAAGTAAGCTGATTTAAGAGGTTGGACCAAAGAGAGCAGAGTAAGTCTATTCTATGTTTCTCTCCATATATGCTCATACTTTATTTTAAATGTCAAATGAAAGGAGACAGCCATTAGAAGTTAAATTTATTAAGGGGCTGAGTTTTACAGTATAAATACAATGAAATTAATTTTTAAAGTGTATTTTTTGCCAAAATATCCATTCATTTATCATGAAACACCCATAATGTGCCTCAAGTACAGAGTGACCAAAAGAGACATGATCTCTATGTAGAATTTACACTCCTATGACATGAAATAAAGGCAATTTAAGAAACAAGAACTTCAGTTAATTGTATATTGTGTGTTATCAGCATGTGTGTGTACAAGTTATCTGCACACTGGTGGACAAAAGTGGTCTGACTCAACCACAAAACCTTTAAACAAACTTTTCTGCAGGCAAATCAGGAACAGACGTGCTATTGAACACAGACATTTTATCTGCCTCAAAATCAACTTAAACTGCTGGCAGAGGCATGGCGCACTGACCTAAAATGATACAAACTAGGTCATTCAAAGAAATCGGAGTGGTAGAGGGAGAGGAAGGTGTTACATGGAAAATATATGTGGCTGTGAGGAGCAGCTAAAATTTCAATATTAAAATTACTAAGCCAACTGTCAAGCACATATACTCCCCATCACCAGCTTAAATGGAACTGACTTCAGTTTATTTTTATCTCTTTAAATTGAACTATCAGTTTAAAGCTCCTATCACGGTGGCTCACCCCTGTAATCCTAGCTCTCTGGGAGGCTGAGGTGAGTGGATTGCTCAAGGTCAGGAGTTCAAAACCAGCCTGAGCAAGAGCGAGACCCCGTCTCTACTAAAAATAGAAATGAATTAATTGGCCAACTAAAAATATATAGAAAAACTAGGCATAGTGGTGCATGCCTATAGTCCCAGCTACTCAGGAGGCTGAGGCAGAAGGATTGCTTGAGCCCAGGAGTTTGAGGTTGCTGTGAGCTAGGCTGACACCACAGCACTCACTCTAGCCTGGGCAACAGAGTGAGACTCTTGTCTCAAAAAAAAAAAAAAAAAAAAAAAAAAAAAAAAAAAAAAAGCTCCTATCAGCTTTGAAAGGGAGAACCTCATCCAAACTTTGTCTTCTTCCACATTACCTTCTACTAAATAAATACAACACTTACTGAGGAATGAAATCTGGGCATCACCTCAGGAATACTTTACCAGAGTCCTAATGCAAAGAATGTTACAGGCTTTAGTTTCACAGACTTGTATTCAACTTCTGTATATATATTACCCTGAGCATAGTTTCATCTAGAAAATGGGAACAATACTTATATCTCAAGAAAAATGCTATGAGGATTAAATGAGGTAAGGTATATAACGCATAACACATAGTAGCCCTCTAAACAGTGGTTGTGTATTGTGGTTTTTTAAAAAAACTTCACTGGCTGTTTTCTGACCACAAAACATAAATACTGTTGGGAACAATCTTCAAATGTTGAACATGCTTGATAACTACCACAAGATCCATATATGCAGAAAGTAATCCACAAATAATTACTGAATACTTAACTGAAATAATTACTGAAGGAGTCATATATTAAATAACAGTGATTATGTGCTAATAGTACTGCCACCTTAGTATTTCATCAAGGACTTGGTATCATAAGGCAGAGGTAAAACAGCTGACCCTAGACCCTAAATGTTCAGGGACACCCATAATGGGTTTTATTTGCACTTACCCAAATTTTTAAAGAAGGTGTTAGTCATAGCTAAAGTTTAAAACAAAAAAGCCTGGGGTTCACTATTCAGTCATACAGTTACCCATGGGGGCTCATGGGATAGCAGGTATGACACAATCATACCACTGACCGTTTAAATTCAGTGTTCTACTTCCAGTTCTAAGAATACCTGCACTTTTGGAGATAGGGGGAAAAATTATATTTGGGTAACTTGATAAAGAATCCAGAATAGTTTTTCCTAATTTCTTATTCATTTAAGGAAAAAAAGAAAAACAAAATCTGTTTTGATCAGTGAATATAATAGTTGTATATAACAGTGTTGTATACACACTGTCAATTTGTTGTATAGAGTGCCAATTTGCACCTGGAAACATGAGCAGTGGTTAATTTATTGTGACCTGTAATTATAAATTAAACAATCATGAAATTACACAGTCCACTTAATTGATAAACAAACTGGGAAAAGTAGCCAACTCTCATGCATTTCTCATCTATAATGACAAATCTCATTCTCTGTTGGTTTGGCATGCCTTTTTCTCTTCAATTCTAGTTATTTTCCGTATAAATATTTATGTTTATACTCATTTGTTGAGAAAAATTTAGCCTTTAAATGGATAGCTCATGTATAAATGATTAAGAAAAAGAAACACTTGTAAAAATCTGTTTAGCCTGAGGTTAAAAAAACTGCACATGTAGCAAGTATTAATGTGATTGGCAACTTCAGATCAAATAATCCTACTTCTTTAACAATCTAACAACGTAAAACCAATTGAGTTTTTTTTTCCCCCTATCAAAATTTACTCACTGGATAATCTGACTGAAGGTAGATGTTTTTTTTCCCCTCCTGGGATAATTGGATAATTTTTTCTTCTTAAATCAACAGAAGTGGGTCAACATTTTTAAAAGTCAGAAAGGGACTAGGGGATGAGGTGGGGCAGTAACTATAGATTCGATTGTGGGCTCTTTGCAGTTGCTAAGCCAACCAACCTATTCCACATGCTTCAAGATCAATTTGACTAGCTCTAAAATTATTCAATTCCATTTTAAGCCCCTCCAACTAACTGCACAGAAATCAAGGTCAGGAGCCGTGGCTCATGCCTGTAATCCTAGCACTCTGAGAGGCCACCAGACTGAGTAAGAGGTGAGACCCGTCTCTACTAAAAAATAGAAAGAAATGAGCTGGACAACTAAAAATATATAGAAAAAATTAGCCGGGCATGGAGGCGCATGCCTGTAGCCCCAGCTACTCGGGAGGCTGAGGCAGGAGGATTGCTTGAGCCCAGGAGTTTGAGGTTGCTGTGAGCTAGGTTGACACCACGGCACTCTAGCCCGGGCAACAAAGTAAGACTCTGTCTCAAAAAAAAAAAAAAAAAAAGAGAAATCATCAAGGAACAGTGTCAATGGTCAAATCTGTCACAACTACAATTTACAATTTGAGAACGCTTTAATTAGGGCTGACAGAGAAAAAGCTTGCCCAAAATTGATGCCCACTCTTCAGTTTTAATTTCCCATTCTTTTTAGTTTGGAGACCCTTTAGGGTTAAGACTTTTGGTCCTGTTATGGTCACACGCAAAATGAGGTTGCAAAAGGTTTCGAAGGAAAAAAAAATAAGGTTTAGAAGGAAATACTAGGGTCGAGGCAGCTAATTTGCTTCCATCAACAGGGATTAAGTATTGAACGGAAAATCGGTCATCCACAACAACCAAGTCTTGCAAAACTCTCACCAAATAAAACACTCAGAACTGAGGAGGCGCAACCGCCACGCAGACGCTAAGACGGCATAAAATGTACCAGGCATCCCTTCCAAAAGGCACCTCTTTGTGTCCTGGGACTTACTCCCCGGCTCTCCAGGGACCCGCACACCGCTAGGAAGAGGCGAACCAGGTAGGCTACCATCTCCCCTGGTACCGCCAGGGCGACCTCAAAGACTAGCTCTAGCTCCTCTCTCCGTTTCTTGGTCGGGCCCAGACGGACCCCACTTTCCTGCAGCGCAGCGAGGCCGATTCCCCCGGAAGATCTAAGCCTGCGTGCGAAGGCTGCTCCCTACAGCGCCTGGGACCCGCCCTCATCTCTGTCTCCAGAGTAATGATGGAGCCCGGGATCCGTGTGGGGCCAGCCACGCACTCTGCCAGCCCTTTCCCCAAGCCTCGGACTCGTCGCAAGCCCCGCCTTCCTGTCCAGGCCCAGGCCTCCCTCCAGGGCCCACCCTCGGGGTTCCCTGTCGCCCCCCGAAACCAGTCCAGAACCCAGGCAGCAGGCAGAGCTCCGTCCCACTCCCTCCTTGGATTTAAGCGCAGTGTCTCGCCCTGGGCCTGGGGACTGGAGGGGGGCGATCGGCCAGCTCCAAAGGGGCCTGGGCCCCAACACTTACCATCCTCCCGCCGAATCCCTCCTCCTCCTCCTCCTCCTCCTCCTGCTCCTGCTGCTGCCTCCCCCGTTACCAGGGGCAACTGCTGCGGCGCCGCCCCCGACGTCCCTCGCTCGCACAGTGGAGGAGCAAAGCAGCGGTATGGGGCGGGGTCCAGCTCCGCTTTCCCCAAAGTGCGCAAGCGCGCCAAAGTGCCCGCCCACTGCGGGGGCGGGCCGCTGGGGCTGTGGGCGCGGCTGGAGGAGGCTGCTGCCAACTCGGACCAGGGGATTGGTGAGAATTTTCCCACGTGGCTGGCGGGAGCCTCCCGGCCTGTGATTGGTCGAGATAGGGGGGCGGGGCGGGCGAGGGGGCGGTTCCCAGGTCCAGGCGGGTTGGCGCACCCGGCCCTGGCTTCCAACGCCGGCTGTATCTGGTGGCTGGTGTCTTAGTGTATCCCTCCCAGGACCAGGTAAGGGGCCTTGCGACGCTCGCCACGTCTACCCGCAATCCCCACATTTCAGAAGGGAGCTAGGATTTCTGTCCTGGCTGCCCAGGTGGGGCTGCAGCTGGACTTCCACCTACATAAGCCACGTGGCGCAAGGGGTGCCCTGGGGCTGCCAATGGACACCTCCCGTCTGACCCGCATTGCCCTCCAGTGCCAGGCCGAGCGGCTGGGGCGTTATGAACTGCTCACCCATCTCCACTGCTTTGTGCCCGCGTCGGGAATGGGGGAGTCCTAAAGGGGGGAGGCCATCTGTCGGAGGGCAAGAAGCAGCTTGTCCCCGAGCAGTAACCCTGAGCCCTGAGGTGAGCTGAAAGCAGGGGTGGAAGGCATTTTGGTATCAGCCAGGTTTTGCTAAGTGGTATTGGACTGGACGAGGCAAAAATGGGTCTGCATTTTTAGCCCAGGGATAGTAAGAGGGGTTCTGGGTAGGTTGACAAGTGCTATGTCGCACCCCTTTCCCATGGAGAGGAACGTAGAGTTTAGCACATTCATGCCAGGCCCTGTTCTAGACGCTGGTTACATAGCAATGGACAAAATCTGGATATTTTGTCATGGATATTCTAACCTTTCTAGTGAAATGCTTTTCATCCAAGATTTTATTTCATTCTCACAACCCCTGGAAATTGGTTATATAGTTGAGGACTTATAAACACTGTTTACAATGTTTGCTTGTAACACTATTGTTCAGGTAGGAGGAACAGAAAGGTTTATATCTGTGATGTAACTAATAACTTTTAAGAGCTGATAAAGTCTAGATGAGCCTGGAAGTTTGCAGATGCGTGTGTCCCTGTTACATACCTCACTGGGTTTTTGTGAGCGTTAGGTGAATTATATGTCAAGTACATAGAGCATTGCTTGCCATAAAGGAGGTGTTATATAGTGATCCTCCTGCCTCAGCCTCTGGAGTAGCTGGAGCTACAGCCCACACTACCACACTGAGCTAATATTTTTATTTTTTGTAGAGTGTCTTACTATGTTGCCCAGGCTGGTGTTGAACTCCTGGCCTCAAGCAATTCCCCTGCTTCAGCCTCTCAGCCTACTGTGCTGGGCATTAGTTAGCTATTATTAATAGTTTCATCTAGGTTTTTGGTCTTTGCCTCTCTTCTATCAGCAGTTTTTCCAGTCTAGTTAATATGTTGGAATGTAAGCAGAGTTGTCCTGAATGGTGCTTAACTATTTATCCATTCAACTAAAGTATTTTTAAAACATTTTCAACTTGCATATCTGCTTCAGATCCTTGGAGAGAAAACTCAGTTCAGCATTTTGATTAGAGAGTTGCAAGATGAATGGTTAGCTTAGAGAGTGAACTCCTATAATCCACCCATCTTCAGACTGTTGGCTTTTTTGTGGAAAAGGCAAGGCAGGTGAGGTGCAGTGGCTCACACCTGTAATTCCAGCATTTTGGGAGGCTGAGGTGGAAGGATCGCTTGAGCCTAGGAATTTGAGGTTGCAGTGAGCTATGATCAGACCACTCCACTCCACCTTGGGAGACAGTGCAAGACCCCATCTCTAAAAAAAAAAAAAAAAAAATTAAAACCTAAAAAAAGGCAGGGCAGATTTCTCTTTCTAAGTTGTCTGGTGTCTAACACATGGTTGCCTTGGAGTCAGATGAGTCTCCATAAGCATATATGTGGTCTCTTCCTTTAATTGTTATCATTCCCCAACTTTGCTCTAGGCAGCCTTAACCCTAATCCTCACCTTTCTCAGGGGTCTTTGTGTCCGACCTTCTAGAGTCTTTAGGTGCCTTGATCTTTTTCTGATGTGAGTACAAGCAATGATGTTTTGTTTTCCTCTCTACCTGGAGCTACAAATAAGAGAATCTTGGGCACTTCCCTCTTGTAAGAGGATACCTCAGAATGGGTTTAAGCCTGTTCTGTGAGCTCTGATACTGTTTGCCAGAGAAAATCAGTTCTATCTAGGAAGGATGAGCATTATTTCAGGGGAGGTAGTAGCCTATTTTCTTTTCTTTCTTTCTTTTTTTTTTTTTTTTTTTTTTTTTTTGAGATAGTGTCTTGCTCTGTTGCCTGGGCTAGAGTGCAGTGGCATCATCCATCATCATGGCTCACTGAAGCCTCCAACTCCTGTGCTCAAGCCATCCTCCTGCCCCACCCTCCCAAATAGCCGAGACTACAGGCATGTGCCACCATGCTCAGCTAATTTTTATTTTTTGTAGAGATGGGGTCTCACTATTACCCAGGCTGGTCTTAAACTCGTAGGCTTAAGTGATCCTCCTGCTTCGGCCTTCCTAAGTGCTAGGATTATTGGCATGAGCCAACACAGTCGTCTTCTTTCTTTTCTTTTCTTTTTTAAAAAGACATGACAAGTAGGCTATAATGGCTAGGGGCCCTGTCTAGGTGACTAAGCCTTGTAACCTTAGGAAAGTAAGGCCCTAGCTATTGTTGCATCTTTGAGGATCTGTTTATTGTTCATCTTTACATGTGCCACAAGTGCTTACTGCAAGGCCAAGTGTGCCACAAATGCTTATTGTTCTGGCCCAATCAGTGTGAACTTTTCTAGGCTTCAGTTTCCTCTTCAATAAACCGAAATCTTGAATCCCTAATGCCTTTAAATTGTGACAGTCTCTAATCCTAGATGGGAGATGTTTTAGTCCGTTTAGTGTTGTTGTTGTTGCTGTTGTTGTTGTTTGATACAGAGTGTTACTCTCTTGCCTGGGCTAGAGTGCCATGGCGTCAGCCTCGCTCACAGCAACCTCAAACTCCTTGGCTCAAGCGTTCCTCCCGCCTCAGCCTCCCGAGTAGCTGGGACTACAGGCATGCACCACCATGCCCAGCTAATTTTTTTTATATATATTTTTAGTTGTCCAGCTAATTTTTCTTATTTTTTTAGTAGAGACGGGGTCTCACTATTGCGCAGGCTGGTCTCAAACTCCTGACTTTGAGCGATCCTCCTGCCTGAGGCTCCCAGAGTGCTACAGGCATGAGCCACCACGCCCGGCCAACATTTAGTGTTATTATAAAGGAAGATGTGAGGCTGAGTAATTTATAAAGAAGTTTATTTAGCTCATGGTTTTGCTGGCTGGAAGGTTCAAGATTGAACATCTGTTGAGGGCCTCAGACTATTTCCACTCATGGCAGAAAGTGAAGAGGAGCTGACATGTGCAGAGATCACATGGCATGAGAGGAAGCAGGAGAGGAGAAGGGGGTACCAGGCTCTTTTTAACAACCAGCTCTTGCTAGAACTAATAGAATAAGAACTTGCTCATTCACCCTGCACCAGGGAGGACATTAATCTAATCATGAGGAATCTGTCCATAACCACCCAGACACCTCCCGTTAGGCCCTGTCTCCAACATTGGTGATCAAATTTCAACATGAGGTTTGTAGGGGTCAAACATCCTAACTATGGCAGGAAGTATCAACCAATCACTTGTCTGAGTTCTATCTCCTACCTTGTTCCTGGTAGTGGAACCATAATCCTTCAGAAATTGGGCCACCCTGGACATGATGGTGACCTTTTTAGGGAATACTAGATGTGGCCTGTGTAGGAGGAGGAAGAGTAACCGTGGAAGAAAACTTAGACACCAGATATGACTCAGTACAAGCAAGGTAGACAGTTTGCATCTTCATGAAAGAAAGGCTGCGCTTCCTTCTATAACCCAGGCAATTTCTAGGTTTGACTTAAAAGGAGTGATATCCTATTTTTTCTTTTTTGCTACTTGGCAGGATCAACCAGGTAGGAGTAACATCCTTGATGCCAAGAGAATGCAAGAATAAGTTGGAATTCATTTCAGGCAGGCAGTACAGATTTTTAGAGGACACGTGAGAGATGTAGCAGTGAACATTACAGATGTGTCCCAATGCTCGTGAGCCTTACAGTCTGTCAGGGAAGGCAGATTTTATTTTAACAGTAAATGACAAGAAGGTGACAATTACAAAAGGTCAGGGTACTAGGGGAATATATAACAGAAAGACATGAGTTTGCCCTGAAAGAATCAAGGAACTGTACCCATTGGGGGACAGTGGGTGTTAGGGAAAATGTTCCAGAAAGATAATTTAGATTGTTGGGGGAGGGGCCTTATGTCTTTTTTTTTTTTTTTTTTTTGAGACAGTGTCTCGCTCTGCTGCTCAGGCTAGAGTGTGGTGGTGTCAGCCTAGCTCACAGTAATCTCAAAGACCTGGACTCAAGTGATAGCCTCCCAAGTAGCTGGGACTATAGGCATGCACCTCCATGCCCAGATAATTTTTTTCTATATATTTTTAGTTGGCCAATTAATTTCTTTCTATTTTTTAGTAGAGATGGGGTCTTGCTTTTGCTCCAGCTGGTTTCAAACTCCTAACCTTGAGCGATCTACCCACCTTGGCCTCCCAGAGTGCTAGGATTACAGGCGTGAGCCCCCATGCCCAGCCTGGCCTTATGTCTTATATAAGACAGGGGCTGTGCAGTTTCTATACTGACCTCAGTTAAGAAGGCAAAGGCTGTTGCATAATTTAGCAAATGATTACCCCTTCATGTTAAAAATGCTTTCATTGTAAGAGGCAGAGGGCTTTGCAATGTTGAGTTGAGGGTGGAGAGAGATGTCAGAGAAGGTCTGGTGGTGTGTGCTGACAGGGAGGCATAGCATTTTGCTCATTGAGCTGTTTCTAGTGGTCATGAGCCTGGGGCTTGGTAAGCCTAGGCACTGTGTGATCTGCTGGCCAGTATAGAGTCCAGGAAAGTGAACTCTCTTCCCTTCCTTCACACTCCTAGTTCCGGACTGAGAGAAATGCCTTTGGTCTTAGAACCAGCCTGCAGGAGGCCAAGTGGAGTGGGAGAGGGGGAAGTCAAGAGTTTTGGCAGCGGACGCTTGCTGCCTGCCTTCTGACTTGTAGACATTGCCACTTCAGTAGTAGCGTCAGAGCCAGCCAGGTGCTGTGGATGCTCCACGTTGGCCTCTACTCCTCTCCTGGTTCCTTCCTCTTGGGAAATGACTTAGCCACAGCACATCAACTTCCTGAAGTCTGTTCCACCCTAACAAAAAATCTAAAATTGACCACCGCTCTCTCTTCTACTTGGTTCCTTCCCCCTCCTGTTTCTCTGGTGCTTCTTTTCCATCTTTCGGGGATTCATTTTCTCAGTGTGCTTTTTTTTTTTTTTGAGACAGAGTCTCACTCTGTTGCCAGGGCTAGAGTGCCGTGGCATCAGCCTTGCTCACAGCAACCTCAAACTCCTGGGCTCAAGCGATCCTTCTTGTGCCTCAGCCTCCCGAGTAACTGGGACTACAGGCATGTGCCACCATGCCCGGCTAATTTTTTCTCTATATTTTTAATTGGCCAATTAATTTCTTTCTATTTATAGTAGAGATGGGGTCTTGCTCTTGCTCAGGCTGGTTTCGAACTCCTGACCTTGAACAATCCGATCTCCTCGGCCTCCCAGAGTGCTAGGATTACAGGCGTGAGCCACCGTGCCTGGCCAAGCGTGCTTCTTAAGTGTAGTGGTTTTTCAGGGTTTGCCCATTCTGTGTATTCTCATTGGAAAACTTTATCTTAAACCACCTCAATGCTACTGACTCAACTTTTTCCTTCCAGCCCAGACCTCTATGCTTTCTGTCAAGCCTGAATACCTACTTGCTGCTGAGCTGGCCCTCTATGCAGCACGTGCTTGAATACTTGTGCTAGGCACTGGGACAACAGTGGAGAGCAAAATGAACACATCCCCTGACTTCAAAGGTGACTATTTAAGTTAGTTAAGATGATAGTTTTCAGAAAAAAGACAAATGGCCTAACAATAGAAGGTATAGAAGTAAATCTGAAAATTATTCCTAAAGAAAGTGAAAGGACGAGTAGGTGTTACTTAGTAAAGAGGGGAGGGAATACCTTTTGGAAAGGGCCCAAGACGGGAAGCAGCCTATTGCATTAATCAAGTCCCATGGCACTTAAAACTCAACATGCAAAAAATCAAGCTCACTGTTTTCTCCCTTAAAGCCTATTTTTCTACACTCTCTGACTCAGCACCTTGTTGCCTAAGGCAGAAACTCCAGGTATCACTCTAGATATTTGTGATGTGTCAACTTGGCTAGGCTAAGCTCCTGGCATTCCCTCTCTGGTCCGGTTCCAGTTACAGTGGGAGCTTAGCACACCTTCTTCCAGTTCTTCAGACACATGCTAATCTAGGTGCTGTTGTGAAGGGATTTTGCATGTGTAATTAAAGTCCTCAATTGGTTGGCTTTAAGTTAATCAAAAGGGAGATTATGCCCAGTGGCCTGACCTAATCAGATGGAAGCCCTTCAAAGGAGGGGCAGGCACCCCCCAACCGTGAGGTCTGAGTCTCTGAGCCATAACCCGTGTCACTTTTCTATGCCCAGGATGGTCTGTTTCTGGCTGCCTGCCCTGCTGGCTGTGTCCTTGCTTAACCACCTGCCACAATTATTTAAGCCAATTAGCTAATTCCTTGTAATAAATCGATTTTTATGTATTTATCAATATCATATATTTATTATATAAAGGATATATATATATTAATATATATCTACTGATTCTGCTTCTCTGGTTGAACTCTGACTTATACAATATTCTGCTAATACCCAATTGCTTAGCAAATCCTAAGATTCTGCTTGTTTAAACGGTTCTCTTCTTTTGGTCTCTCCTTTGAGTGCACCTGGCTCCGTTTGAGCCTCTCTCCGTTATGTCTGTATTATTAGAGTTCCCTTCCAGCCTGTCTCTGTGTCCTGTGAGGTTGTGCCACATCCTGTTTATTCTCACGAGTGTCTGGAGCATCCCTTCTAAACTACACATCTGATCTTGTCACTTTTCTTCTTAAAATCCTTTAATGACTTCCCAAAATTTTCAAGCAAAAATTCAAAAGCCTTAGCTTTCTTTGTGTGACTGCATTTTCTTACCTCTCTTAGCATATCAATCATACTTCATTTGAAAACTTTTTTAGTTTGTTGCCCTAGAGTGTGCAGTATACATTTACAACTAATCCAAGTCCACTTTCAAATAACACTATACCACTTCGTGGGGAGCACATGTACCTTATAATCGTCTATTCCCAATTCCTTCCTGCCATCCTTGATGTTATTGGGGTCATGTATTTCATTTATCCATAAGCTATAGTTACTGAATACATTGTCGCTATTATTATATTGAACAAACTGTTACCTGTTTGCTGTTTTTTCTTTTTTTTTGAGACAGAATCTCGCTCTGTTGCCTGGGCTAGCCCATGGCGTCCAGCCTAGCTCACAGCAACCTCAAACTCCTGGTCTAAAGTGATCCTTCTGCCTCAGCCTCCAGAGTAGCTGGGACTACAGGCATGCACCAACATGCCCAGCTAATTTTTTCTATATATATTTTTAGTTGGCCAATTAATTTATTTCTATTTTTAGTAGAGACAGGATCTTGCTCTTGCTCAGGCTGGTCTTGAACTCTGGACCTCGAGCGATCCTCCTGCCTCAGCCTCCCAGAGTGCTAGGATTACAGGCGTGAGCCACCACGTGTGCGGCTCTGTTTGCTGTTAATTCAGAATAAGAAATATAAAGATTTTATTTGTTCCTTCACTTTCTTCATTTAGTTCATTTATTTCTTCTCTGACACTTTCTTTATGTGGGTCTGATCTCATAACCTATATAATTTTCTCTCGAACTTCTTTTAACATCTTGCAAGTCAGGTCTACTGGCAACAAATTCCCTCAGTTTCGTTTGTCCAAGAAGTCTTTATTGCTTCTTCACTTTTGAAAAATAATTTCACTGGATATAGAATTATAGGTTGGGTTTTTCTTCTTTAACACTTTAAATCTTTCACTCTACTGTCTTCTTGCTTGCCAGGTTGCTGAAGAGAAATCTTACCTCTCTGTAGGTAAGGTTTTGTTTCCTCCTCTGCCTACTTTTCCTTATTTTCTTTGTCTTCGATTTTCTGCAGTTTGAATATGATATGCCTCAGTGTAGGGTGTTTGGTGGTTATCCTGCTTGGTGCTCCAAAATTCTCAATCATCATTACTTCAAATATTTTTTCTGTTCCTTTCTCTCTTCTCCTTCTGGTATTTCTATTAACACATACATTGTACCTTTTATAGTTGTCCCACAGTTCTTGGATATTCTGTTCTGGTTTTTTATTCTTTTTTTTCTCCTTTACATTTCTATTTGGGAGGTTTCTGTTGACACATTCAAGCTCACTGATTTCCTTGGCCATGTCTGCCTACTGTTGAGTCCATCATGGCTTTCTTCATCTCTGTAACAGTGTTTTTGACTTCTAAAATTTCCTTTTGATTCTTTCTTAAGAGTTTCTATCTCTCTGCTTACGTTATCCATCTGTTCTTGTATGTTGTCCACTTTTCCCTTGAGATTCCTGAGCATATTAATCATAGTTATTTTAAATTCCTGCTCTGATAAGTCCAAAATCTCTGTTTTATCTGAATCTGGTTCTGATACTTGGTCTGTTTCTTTAAACTGTGTTTTTTACTTTTGAGTATGCCTTATAATTTTTTGTTGAAATCCAGACACAAGGGACCTGGCTGGTAAGAGGGACTGAGGTGAGAGGTTTTATGTTTATCTGGCTAGGAGTTAGGCTGTGTTTACTGTTTGCTGTAGCTATAGGTGTCAAAGGCCAATATTTCATCTGGTATCCTTGTTTTTGTCTCCTTTGTCATCTTTGGGCTTCTAGAGACTTTTTTTTTTTTTGAGACAGAGTCTCACTTTTTTGCCCAGGCTAGAGTGAGTGCCGTGGCATCAGCCTAGCTCACAGCAACCTCAAACTCCTGGGCTCAAGCAATCCTGCTGCCTCAGCCTCCCAAGTAGCTGAGACTATAGGCATGCGCCACCATGCCCGGCTAATTTTTTTCCATATATATATATTAGTTGGTCAATTAATTTCTTTCTATTTATAGTAGAGACGGGGTCTCGCTCTTGCTCAGGCTGGTTTCGAACTCCTGACCTTGAGCAATCTGCCGGCCTCAGCCTCCCAGAGTGCTAGGATTACAGGCATGAGCCACCGTGCCCGGCCAGAGACTTCTTAAATAAGGTATGAGCCTTGCAGTTTTTCTGTTGTAATCCCTTGTGGTTACACAGCGGCCTCCCTGATGCAGTGGTGGTGGGGGGAAGGAAGCATGCTACAGTCCTGTGATGAGGCCTTAGTCTTCAAGTGAGCCTGTGCCCTTGACCTTCACAAGTACTTCTGAGCGTCCCTTCACCCCACTTCAGGTGAGGCAGGAAGGCAAGAGGGGGCTGGAGTTCTTTCCCCCAAACCTGATAGGTTCTGGTAAAATAGTTTCCTTTGAGGGCCTTGGTAAGAACAGAGGGGCTGGGTGTCAGGGTACAGGCCTGTAGTCCCACCTTCTTGCCAGGCTGAGAAGGAAGGATTGCTTCAGCCCAGGAGTTTGAGGCTGCAGTGTGCTATGATTGAGCCTAGGAAGGGACACTGCACTCCAGCCTAGGCAGCATAGCTAGACCCCATTTCTAAAAAATAAAATTTTAAGAAGAAGAGAGGGCTCTGGATGTTTTTCAAAATGGCTACTTTTCCCACCTCCCTGCCCAAAGCACCAGGGGGTATTATATATTATTTCATGAGTAGGGTCTTGTTCCCCAGTCAGACTCGGGGCTCCCCAAGGACAGGCACTCTACTGTCCCTTTTTCCAGTCTCTCCCACAGTGTGGTAAAGCACAAGGCTGGCCACCAGGACATACATGTTGGTGCCCAATTGCTCAGTCTGGTGACCACTCTCCGGGGCTCTCCCCAGCTGAGTCAGCTGGTGCCCAGTGGTTGGTAAAAGCAGGCAGTCCGTAACAGTGGGATGTGCTCAGGGCTTCTGGGAAAGGCTTTGATTTGGGGGACAATCCTCATTCTTCTTCTGTCTCTTAAGTCCACAGGTGTGTGTGTGAGCAAAGATGGAGGCCGACCTGTCTAGCTTTGACATCGATGCCCCCCGTTGGGACCAGGGCACTTTCTTGGGGCGAGTGAAACACTTCTTCAACATCACGGACCCCCGCACCGTGTTTGTACCAGAGCAGAAGTTGGACTGGGCCAAAGCGATGGTGGAGAAGAGCAGGTGAGTGGTTAAGGGAAGGGGCTGAAGGCAGTAGGGTGACATTGACGGGGTCCTTGGGGGAGGAGGTGGAAACTGAAGGTGAAGGAATGGGCAGAGATCTCAAGAGGGAAGGAGAAATGAGAGTGGGAGACTGGGAAGCATTGGCCAGGCTGGGTGGTAACTGCCTGTTGTCTTTGGGTGACAGGATGGGGGTCGTGCCCCCAGGCACCCAAGTGGAACAGCTACTGTATGCCAAGAAGCTGTATGACTCAGCCTTCCACCCTGACACCGGGGAGAAGATGAATGTCATTGGGCGCATGTCCTTCCAGGTCCCTGGCGGCATGATCATCACAGGGTTCATGCTCCAGTTCTACAGGTGGGACCTGGCAGCAAGGCAGTGGGAGGGACAGCTGCTGGGTCTGCTAGCACCAAGCCATAGTAGCCCTCTTTTTTGATCACTTACCAGGTACTGGGCACTGTGCTAAGTCCTTTGCTTGTATTGCCTCATTTAACCCTCTCAACAGCCCTACACCTAGGTGCCATTATCATTTGTACTTTGTAGATGAAGAACTAGAGTTCTGGAGAGGCTAAGTAGCTTGTCTAAGTTCACACAGTCAGGAAATGTGGGTGCCTGGATGTTAACTCAGGCAGTCCTCTATAGAACTCTCAACAAATAAGCTACCTCTTTAAAAAGTACACATTCCACGATAAATTTATTGTTATAATGTAACATCCAAATGAAAAAGTAGGAAGACCCTTTCTCTGGGTTTGGTTGGGGAGAGAATGTACTTTGTAGCTGCTGGATGTGTGACTCTTCCTCCACCTTCCTCCCTCCTCCTCCCTCCTCCTCCTTCCCCCCACCTTCCCCCTGCCCCCTCCCATCTGTGCACTGTGCATTCATTTGTTCAGTTATTGAGCTAGGCTTTGGGCCAGGTTCTGGGAATATTAAAACTTTAGTACCTCCCCTAAAGGAGCTCCTAGTTTTGTTCAGAAGACCAAGAAGTGTAAACAGTTATAATACAGCTTGGTAAGTGGCAGGCTGGGGGGAAAGCATGGGGTTGTGGGAACAGGGAGCATGAAATGACTAACTCTGTCTCACAAAGGGCAGGGGAAGTGTCGGGAAGGTTCCAAGGAGGAAGTGCTGTCTCAACAGAGCAGGACTTGGCCATGTATGGAAGAGGGGGTGGGGAATATTCCAGGCAGAGGAGCCAGCGTGTGCAAAAGCCCAGGTACACGAAGCAGCACAGGCACAGTTTAGGGAACTGCAAATCATGCGGCTTCACTGATGTACCCCAAGCCCTCCCTTCCATCCTACTCTTTGCCTCTCCTGGCCTTCCCTACTGGTAGGACGATGCCGGCGGTGATCTTCTGGCAGTGGGTGAACCAGTCCTTTAATGCCTTGGTCAACTACACCAACAGGAATGCAGCCTCCCCGACATCAGTCAGGTAGGAGGCCTGAACCCCAGGTTGTCCGCTTACCTCCCCAGGAACAGTCCTTCTATTTGCTCATTCATTCATTCATTCATTCTACAAATATTTCTTCAGTGTGTATCACGTGCTGGGATGTGTACAGTTTTAGGTGCTGGGGATACGTTGTTGAGTAAGGCATTCCTGGTCCCTGTTCTGGTGGAGTTTAAGGTTTTTGTTTTGTTTGAAACAGGGTCTCACTCTGTTGCCCATGCTGGATTGCAGTGGCATCATCATAGCTCACTACAGTCTTAAGCTCCTGGACTCAAGTGATCCTCCCTTCTTCAGCCTCCTGAGTAGCTGGGACTACAGGCATACGCCACCACACCTGGCTAATTTTTTCTATTTTTTTTTTTATACAAATGGGGTCTCTCTACATTGCTCAGGCTGGTCTGAAACTCCTGGCAACTCAAGCTATCTTCCTGCCTTAGCCTCCCAAAGTGCTGGGATTATAGGCGTGAGCCACCACACCTGGCCAGTTTAAGGTCTTTTAGGAGAACAAGCACCATAATCTTAAGTTGTGACTGCTGCCACTGAGGACATATAAAGGGTGACAAGGCAGAGAACAGCAGAAGGTGTCTGTGTAGTCAGGCCAGCCAGGGGAGTCCCTTCTGTAGAGATGACATTTCAGCTGAGTTCTGAAGGATGAGGATTCAACCATGCAAGGGCGTAGGGAAGAATTCTCCAGCAGGGAGCAGCAGCGTGCAGAGGTCCTGAGGCAGGAAAGAGCTTGGCATGTTTAAAGTGCTTGTATAAGGTCAAGGGGGTTGGGGTGCTATGAGTGTGGGGGAGAGGATCACAAGATGAGGCTGGGAACGGACCATGTGAGGTTTTCAGGCGTGAAGCCTCATCACCAGACTTGCTCTCCCTAGTCCATAGTCTTGCCCTCCGCCAGCAGCACCACCCACTACCAAGCATCTCTCTCCTCCACTAGGCAGATGGCCCTTTCCTACTTCACAGCCACAACCACTGCCGTGGCCACTGCTGTGGGCATGAACATGTTGACCAAGGTATGGCCTGGGGCTGCTGTGGGCATGGTGGCCACTTGAGGGCAGCAGAGTCCTAGGAAAACACCCTTCAGACTTGGTGGGGGCCAGAGCCCAGCCCAGTCATGGGGACCACAGCAGGGCTGCCCTAGCCTGGTCTTTCTCAGGCCTTTGAGGGAGCTTGGAGTTCCCAGATGGATGTCTGGATGCGTGGCAGGAGCAAGGTCTCATTTTCTTTCTTGTTTTATAGTCCTTCAGCCGCCTCTACTCCCATCTTCCGGTGAGCCCAACAACTCCCCCTGTCCCCTTCCCCCACAGAGAGCACCACCCTTGGTGGGCCGCTGGGTGCCCTTTGCCGCCGTGGCTGCAGCTAACTGCGTCAACATCCCGATGATGCGGCAGCAGTGAGTATAGGGAGCCCTTTCCCCCCCAAACCACAAGGTTAGCAGGGAAAAGGCAAGAAACCAAGGCAGTTGGTGGCTTCGGGGGACTGAGGTGGGTGTGGGGAGGGCTGCTGGGCTGAGCCTCGGAAGGGTCCCTGAGGATTGGCTGCTCCTGGGGTGGTGGCCCTGGGAGTGGCAGGTGACAGGTTTAGTGAGTGTGTTGAGGGTGGCAGGTGTCCCTTCCTGCATGGTGTGGGTTGGGGGAGATGGAGTGGCCCTGTGGGGTTTAGACTGGATCATGTCCTTTCAAATGAAACTTAACATTGTGAACGCTGCCCACTCCCAAAGCCCTGGAGACGGCTTACGGGATGGAACGTAGCAGAGTGAGGGGTGTAAAGACAGAGCAGAGCCCACAAGCTTTGAAAGAAGCCAGAGGAGTTTTTTCCAGGCACACAGCTCTCAGCTTTTCAGCAGAAAAGGTAAAGGAGAAATTCATTGTGTCTCCCAGTTTTTGATTCTTGCCCAGAGAAAGCATAGGTGTTCGTCTGGCACAAGGGTTTGTTTTTGTTTTTGTTTTTTTTGAGACAGAGTCTCGCTTTGTTGTCCAGGCTAGAGTGAGTGCCGTGGCGTCAGCCTAGCTCACAGCAACCTCAAACTCCTGGGCTCAAGCAATCCTCCTGCCTCAGCCTCCCGAGTAGCTGGGACTACAGGCATTCGCCACCATGCCAGGCTAATTTTTCCTATATATATTAGCTGGCCAATTAATTTCTTTCTATTTATAGTAGAGACAGGTCTCGCTCTTGCTCGGGCTGGTTTTGAACTCCTGACCTTGAGCAATCCGCCTGCCTGGGCCTCCCAGAGTGCTAGGATTACAGGCGTGAGCCACCGCGCCCGGCCTGGTACAAGGTTTTAATGATGTAATATACATAAAGCACTCAAGACAGCACTGGGAACATAGTGAATGCTACATAAATGTTTGCTTTATTGCTACCATTGTCATCATCATCGATATTTATAAGCCCCATTTTCTTGGGACTAGTAGCAAATGGAAACTTACCGCAAGACACGTTGTAGGAAGAGCACTGTCAGCATAGCCATGTGTGCCGCACACACGTCACTCCTGTCCTCTTTCCTTCCCCGCCTCAGTGGCTCTTTCCTAACAGATGAAGGAGTCGCAGCCACCCACTGGGTGTGGGGAACTGTCCCTTCAGGAACTGGCCTGAGGAGAATGGCCAGCGTAGCTACTGTCTGTGGAGCGGTCTCTGAGTGTCAGTGCTGGACTAAGCACTCTGCAGGCATTATCGCCTTTAATCCTCACCAGGCCTTATGAGGTGGGCTCCAGGATTATCTCCATTTTGCAGATGAGGAAAACTGAGGCTTTGGAAGGGTTAAGGACTGTGCTTGAGGTCACACACATACCCTGCAGTTTCAGGAGTCGACTCAGGCAGTCTCGGCCCAGGGCCACCTCTCTTATCCACTGCCCTAGGGCACTCCTGAGATGTCATTCACTGGAGTACAGAAAGAGGTGGCTTCCTAGAGCTTCAGTGCCCTGGCCTTGGTCCCCTGGCATGTCACATGGCCAGCATGCTTCCAGTGCCCCTTTCCTAAGTCCAGCAACTCCTGTCTCTGTTTAGGGAACTCATCCAGGGCATCTGCGTGAAGGACAGAAATCACAAGGAGATTGGTCACTCCCAGGTGAGCAGAGACCTCCGTTTGGGGTGGGAGGAGGGAATTCCCTCTCAGACCCTGTCCCCTGCTTAGTGATCAGAGAAGGCCTGGACGCCATTATAAGACTGAGAAACCTCCCTCACTGTGCCTTCATTTCCTGTCAATGTTTCCCTACGTTTCTTTGTGTAGAGTAGGCCATTTATGTCCTCTTTCCATCATTTCTGGTCCTGAAGCCATAAAAGTCTAGTTGGGTGGGAGAGGGTTGGGCCACTGAGCCCCTGGCAGGTTCATCCCTTCCCTATTACCGTCTCAGACCTGGCCACGACGCTGACCCAGTCCTAGAGAGCAAAATGCCTAGGTACACTGGATAAGTCATTCCTTACAACTTTTTTCTGTCCTCAGAGAGCTGCCGCCATAGGCATCACCCAAGTAGTTATTTCTCGAATCACCATGGCAGCTCCTGGCATGAGTAAGATGGGGAGGCCCTCCCAGCCTGGGGGTTCCTGGAACATGGGGTGTAGGGCTGAGCCACACTCAGCTCTCGGGTGGGAGGTGGGACCCCAGCCTCTACAGCCATGCTTCTCAAACTGCTTTGCTTGAATGCTTCTAGCCCAGGACAACCACACTAGTTCCTTAGAATGTCGATTAATCAGAGAGTTGGAGGAAAAAGTTATGTTCATTCAACTAATACTTGTTAAGCAACATTGCTTAATGTGCTGCACACAGTGTAGGGTGCTAGGGAGACAGTGGTAGAAAAAATAAGTTCCTGGCTCTGGTTTGCTTCCAGCAAGGACATATTGCAGAATAGGGTACAAAATTTGCTTGCAGGAGCCTTCAAAGATATTTTTGAGTTTTGAGAAGGATGCTTTGAGCTTAGCAGCACGTGTTCTCCTGTTACTGCAGGTGTGCAGGTTGAGGAGTTTGGGAAGCACGGTGCCGCTGGGACTTGGGGGAGAGGGGCTGGGGGTGGCTGTGCCTACTACGTAGGTCTTCTGTTCTTCTCCCAAATGAAGCTTCTGGGGAAGGAGAGGGAATCACTCAGTCCCTGATTTGGCTTCAGAAGGAGTCTTGGGGAGAGTCTTCAGCCCTCCCTCAGCTTCTCCCCTGGTCTCTTCCAGTCTTGCTGCCAGTCATCATGGAAAGGCTGGAGAAGCTGCGCTTCATGCAGGTGGGTAGGGTTTCCTTTTGCATCTCTCCTGCCCAGAGTGCCCCATCCACACCTGGGGACGCCTTAACTCCCATCCTTCCCTCTAAGTGCCGCACCACCATCTCACTCAGGTGGAGCCCATACCAATCCCTGCTGGCCTCCTGCTTAGACCTGGTTTGCAGAGAGGAAAGAGAAAGCCCCTTATCCTCCCCTTCATGGCCTGGGGGTCCCCACCTAATGTTCTTCTAGCTGGCTGATCCATGGCAGGGCAGCATGGAGTTCACCTTAAAGCATAGAAGTCCCACGTGGGTCTCTCTTTTGTTTTTGTGCAGAAAGTCAAGGTCCTGCATGCCCCATTGCAGGTCATGCTGTCTGGGTGCTTGTGAGTATTGTGTTTTGATGGTTTGGGTTCTTGGTGGCTAGGGAACCCAAGATCTGTCTTCTTGTCTAGTTCATGTTGGAGAACATGTACTCCTTTACCTGAGTTTAAAAGTGGCCAAGCTCAGAATACTTGTGTTCCATCTGGACAGCTCTCACCCCATTGTTTTTAAGGGCATCAGGGTGGTGGCCCTATGCAGAGGTCCATGTGGAAAGTGGGGTGCTTGGGTGCCTGTCTGTCCCAGGGTCTCCCTCCGGGACTGGAGCAGTTTTAAAGAAGGGACAAGAATAAGGAGACACACCTTTGACTGGGGCTATCAAGTGTCCCAGCCTCCCACAGGATGAAAATGCCACCAGTCGTGATTTGTAGGTGCCTGCCATTGGCTTGGACACATCCTACATTAATCGTGCTTGCAAGGCCACAGGACTATTGACAGCTACACTAACATCTGCGTTGACTGGGTGTTTTCTGTGTGTCCTTGCCGAGCTGATGCTGCATGTCTATAATTTCAGTTAATTCTGTCAGCTCTAGAGGTGTATATAGTATTATCATCTCTTTTTGTAAATGAAGAGAATGAGGCTTAGAGAGATGGGAAGCTTGCCTAAGGGCATATAGCTGGTAATTGATTGCTGGAGCTGAGATTTGATCCTAAACAGTCTAACATTATGCTGTACAAACTTCTGCTAAGTGAGTTACCCTGGGCTGGGTGCTTTGCGTATATTATCTCATTTAATTCTCACAGTACCCCTGCAAAGTGGGCACTGTTGTCCTCCCTCTGCTGGCTCAGAGGTAACTCGCTCAAGGTTGCACAGCTGGTTAAGTAGCAAAGCTGGGATACCAAGCCAGGTCTGGTAGATTCCCAGATCTGGTAAGACATTGCATCCCAAACTTGGCCCTGGCCAGCATCAGCAGCATCATCTGAGAACCTGTTAAAAGACTCCCGAGCCCTCCCCCAGATCTACTCAGTCTGCGTGCATATTTTCACAAGCCCCTGAAGTTATCTGTGGGCACAGTGAAGTTTGAAACTGCCTTTCACTGTGCTCTGACAGCCCAGGCGTTCACTGAGGGAAGGAGCCGGGCCTTGGAACTCACACCACTCCCCCCTCTCCCCACAGCGGTGGGTGGCGGTGCTTGTGGGCTTTAGGTCTGCTGCTCACACTTCCCAGTCACTTCCTTGTCTTCCTCCTCAGCCTGAACTAGGTGGTGGGGGTGGGGATGGAGGTGAGGAGTGCCAGGGGACTGATTTTATCCCCCTGCCAGAAAGAGTCTCCTGCACTTCGAGGAGAGGATGTGGGCGGGCTGGGAAGGCAGGCCAGATGCGTGGGCGTCTCTCCCTTCCCTTGGGGAGCCTCTCCTGAGGATGGGGTGTAGGCAGGCCAGTGGGACGATGTCCCTTAATGCTTTGGTTTCTCCTTTCTTGCAGCCTCATCTTCATGGTGCCAGTGGCATGTGGGCTCTTCCCACAGAGATGGTATCAGCTATTCGTTCCTCGCTTTGTTTCATTGAACACCTGCCACCGCCCTCCCTGACCTGCCTGCTGCCCACAAGGAGAGAGGGAGGGGGCAGGAAGGGCAGCAATTGTTGAAGGATAAGTGCCCATCAGCCTAAACTCTGGACCTCTTAACCCTGTGTGAATGGCAAACCAAAATAGATACAAGGGGTGGGAGAAGCCAGGAGCAGGAATGAGGCTGCTCCCTCCTAGCAGAGCAAGGGCTGCCTTGGAGGGAAGGTGAGGGAACAACAAAGGACTTTCTTTCCTTGTGGGGCTGTTAGGACGCTCTCCCCTGGCTGGATCTGGTCTTTAAAATTGAGTAAGGGTCCAGCAGTTTCTCAGAAAAAAAAAAAAAAAAAAAGAAATAAAATTGAGTAAGGGGACAGGTACTTCTGGCTCATGTCTGCCAGAGGGTTGACAACTTGGACATCTCCACTTCCCTTATGTGTTCTAAGGGGGAGTGGGGTGCATAGGGAGAAGGGATGATGGAAAAGGGAAGGGACACACCTTGGGGTTAGGGGACACTGGGGATACTGGCCCAGGAGACAGGTGTAGCTTGAATATACATGGAGAAGGTGCCAATGTCCCCTTCCTTGGTGCTCTAGTTCAATACTAGTTCAGTGGTCATCTGCTAGCCATCTCCTGTGTCTCAAGCACTGTGCTTACGATAGTGTGGAGAAGACAGAAGTTTAAACCAAGAATCCTAGCCCAGGAGAATGAAGTCAGGCCAAGGAGAAGTAAAAACAAAATACTGTGGTATACAGAGGCCAGTAATCTAGCTGAAAAAGTCAAGAAGAGCTACTTGGAGGTGGCATTTGAGTTGGATTGTATCTGAGGGTAATTTGCTGCTTGTCCCATGTGTCATGTTTATAACCCCCTTCTTCTCTCTTTCCAGTGAATTGTCAGTTTCCTATCTGGAACCAGAGCTCCAAGACACCATCAAGGCCAAGTATGGAGAACTTTTGCCTTATGTCTACTTCAATAAGGGTCTCTAAATGCCCCACCCCAAAAGGACTAGTCTGTACCCATATTCCTCAGCTCCTCCTTGGCCGCTGTATACACCTGTGTCCTCATTCCTCTTCGCCAACAAGGCCTGAAGGTCAGGGTGGACTGGGGGTGGGAGGATGCCTCATGCTTCTACCCAGGCACCTGGTTTGTTTACTGGATTCCAGGGAACAGAAATCAAAAAAGGGGAGCAAAGACCAAAGTGTTCTATCTGCTTCTTCCTTAACTCCTGTCCACTGGAGACCAGAAGCTGAGGCCTTCTCAGGGAGAAGTTGCTGATACCTGGGGAGACACTCATTTTTCATCTGAAAAATTAGGAAACCTTTAGGATCCTGGTTCCAGCCAGGTTTGGGGATGAAGAGAGGCTTCTCCCACTCTTCCCTTCCTCCTCTCCAAAGCTATGGACCTTTTACCCGTGCAGTTCTAGCACCTCAGGGAGAGAAGAGGAAAGACATCTGTGTCACCTTGGGGCTCTTCTCCACCCTTCCCATCCTCCTCCTTATTGACCCTGGTCAGACAGCTTCTCTGGGAACTCTGCTAAACTTGAGTTTGTCAGACTCCCAGGAGTTGTTAGTGCTAAAAAAATGGACACTGTGTGAGGCAGCAGAGTTACCTGGTGCTTCAAATCATGTCTGAATCTATTCTTGGGATCTTCTTTTCTGTAACAATGGAAGTTCTTTTTCCCAGTGCCTCATGTTGTCTGAAAAGATACATCCACTAACTGAGTGAACAGGATACATGTAGGCATTAACTACACATTTTAATGGGTATCATTTCCTGGCTGCCTCCCTTCCTCAGTGAATGAGGTTAAACACCAAAGAAAGATTGGTGGGTACTGAATAGGAAAGGGAAGTTTTATTTGGACCCTTATGAGAGGAAATCAAGCAGGACCAAAGAGCCTTAAAGGACACACAGCAAAGTGCAGCCACTTCCGTTCCCCAGCTTGGCTGCCCAACGTGATTTCTCAAGCTCCTTGGAGGACTGTTGTGACTTATCTGGGATCAATGTGTGTGGGATTTGCTGACCCTGTTCAAAAGATATCACTGTGAATTGAATAAATTGAAAGAGCACACACACACACAAAAACTGTCTGCAAACTAAAAGTCTGGATGGAAAGCAGGATCTGCTCTCACCTTGGCTTTGGCCTGTCAGAGGGTATCACAAATATACTGGGAACTTCTGATGCCTGGAGGCCATTGTTCATTTCTCTAGTTAAAGGGGAAGAATCTGCCTGCTCAGGAGGTCTCTCAGAATGGGAGTTTACTGCCCTAGAGCAGGAGTTGGCCAGCCATGGCTCAAGGGACCAAATCTGCCTACTATCTGTTTTTGTATGCCTGGAAGCTAAGAAAGGTTTTACATTTTTAAAGAGTTGTAAAAAAGAGGAAAAACAGGAATATGTGTGACAGAGACCCTATATAAAAGTAGCATGCAAAGCCTAAAATATTTATCATCTGACCTTTTACTCAAAAAGTTTACCCTACCCTGGAGCAGTGGTTCTTAAGAATTTGTATCCAAATCTCCTGGGGGGCTTGTGAAAACACAGATTATAGGGCCAAACCCCAGAATTTCTAATCCTGAAGGTTTGGGGTGGGGCCTGAGGATGCTGGAGGAAACTGCTCCAAAGGGAAGGGCCTCCCTAAAGCCAAAGTGTTGGCTGCAATTTGATTTTTTTCCCCATTTAAAAAAATTAAAATATAATTCACTGTAAAATTCATCCTTTTGAAGTATACAATTCATGCTGGACAAGGTGGCTGATGCCTGAAATCACAGTATTTTGGGAGGCTGAGGCAGGAGGATTGCTTGAGCTCAGGAGTTTGAGACCAACCTGAGCAAGAGTGAGACCCTGTTGCTACCAAAAAAAATAGGAAAAAAATTAGCTGAACATTGTGGTGCACGCCTATAGTCCCAGCTACTTGGGAGGCTGAGGCAGGAGGATCACTTGAGCCCAGGACTTTGAGGTTGCAGTGAACTATGATGATGCCGCCACTGTACTCTAGCCCAGGTGACAGAGTGAATCTCTATTTCAAAAAAAAAAGTATACAAGTCAGTGGTTTTTAGTATAGTCACAAACTTGTGCAACCATCACCATTATCTGAATCCAGAACATTTCATTACCCCCAAAAGAAACCCCATACCCATTAGCAGTCCCTCTCTATTCTCCCTATTCCCCAGCCCTTCACAACCACAATCTGTCTCTATAGACTTGCCTATTGCAGACATTTAATTTATTTATTTTTTATTTTATTTTATTTTTTTCTCACTTTGTTGCCTAGGCTACAGTGAGTGCCATGGCATCAGCCTAGCTCACAGCAACCTCAAACTCCTGGGCTCAAGCAATCCTACAGCCTTAGCCTTCCAAGTAGCTGGGACCACAGGCATGCACCACTGTGCCCAGCTAATGTTTTGTGTGTATATATATATATATATATTAGTTGGCCAATTAATTTCTTTCTATTTATAGTAGAGATGGGGTCTCACTCTTGCTCAGGCTAGTTTTGAACTCCTGACCTCGAGCAATCCTCCCTCCTCGGCCTCCCAGAGAGCTTGGATTATAGGTGTGAGCCACCGCGCCCAGCCTTAGACATTTTATATAAGTAGAATAATACAGTATGTCGACTTCTGTGTCTGGCTTCTTTCCCTTAGCATAATATTTTCAAGGTTCATCCATTTTGTAACATGTGCAATTTGATTTTAGCTGGTGTCTAAGCAGAAAAGTCTGTCTTTGAGATAGTTTCTTTAGGATGGGAGAACTGGCTTCAGCTTTGCCATTGTCAAAGGCAAATAGGAAAAAGAAAAGCATCAGAGGTAGCCAGAGCTCAGGAACAACTCCTTACTGAGTTGAAACAACTTTCAAAGTCAACAACCTTCCTCTTTCTTTCCTAGCTCCTCAAGTCTCCCAGCATTCCTCTTCTCTTCATAGACAATTGCTCTTTTGGAAAGTCCTGGAGAGTATGTGGTGGCTACAGTGTTCTGGGGTGCTTTAAAAAGATTCATTCTACCTGTAGTCTCAGCTACTTGGGAGTCTGAGGCAAGGAGGATTGCTTGAGCCCAGGAGTTCCAGGTTACAGTGACCTATGATGCAGCCACTGCACTCCAGCCTGGGCAACAGAGCAAAGATCCTGTCTCTAAAAAAAGTGTTCACTCAAACTACATGTCAGTCCTATATGGTAGCATCTCTCTGCTTCCTTTGAGTTGGCTCCTGTGGGATGTTGAATAAGAGGTAGAATTACTAGAAGGCCTTGGTGTGGGAAGTGCTAATCCAGACTGCACAGGGTTTAGTGTTTGTCCTCTCCGGTAGCTCAGTTTAACTCTCAGGTAAAAGGAGAAGGGAAGTTGGGAGAAAATCTCTTGTATTTGCCAAATTGAAATGGTTTTTCTAATGATGATGAAACCTAGCCTTTCCAGTGGACATTAGTAACTTCTTGAGGCCAGGATTGAGTGACTGTGCCATGAAAATAATTTAGTCCTTGCTTAACTTAGTACTCAACCTTCTCCCCTAAAGAGCTTGATTTGTGGGATGGATGCGTTTTTAAAAAACTAGAAGTTGGCAAAAATACTTGTCACCTTTTGTAGTACTTGGGAAAGCAAGATCAAGATAGAGGTAGAACTGTGGATATTCTTAAGCTGGGGCAAAATGGATTTCTTCACTTTTACCTGTTTCTTATTTTGCCAAGAAATAAGCCAAGAACAGCTCCCTCTGGGCTCAGCTGTGGGCTAGACTGGGTCAGGCTGTAAAACACTTTGGCAGGTTATTGAGAGGAAATTGGCTGCTACAGGCAGCTGGGTTCTTTGCCACAAGTGTTCATTTATGCATTTATTTAACCTACAAACATTGATTGAGCTCCTGGTTGAACCCTGTACAGAATGTTGTAGCGATTTAAATGAAAAGGAGAATAAAAAGACCTAGTATGCTGTACAAAAAGCTACAAATGAGGCAGGCAGATTTAAGTGTTACATAAATTCAGAAGAAATGGGATGGAGGCTAAGACTTTGTAAGCAGGGAATGGACTGTGTAATGTGTAAATGAGGTTACTGGGCTTCTAAGTGTTCAGCATGAGTAGACTGTGGGAAAATAGTGGCTGGAGGTGAGATAAAGAGAAATGGATTAAGTCACAGCACCATATTGAGAAGTTTGGACTATATATTCTGTAGCTAGCTAGTTTAAGTATTTCAAAAGGAGAAGCCATAACATAATAACGTTTGGTTTTATGTGGTGCAGCACTGCCACTGTCGTGGTGCGGAAGGAATTGAAAGGGAAGAATTGGCAATTTGCGGGGTAGTTGGGAGGCCATTTTTATTTAGCCTGAACATAAGAACATGAATTCAAACAATGGGGGCTGGGGAATGTGGATTTCAGAGCTATTTCAAAGGTAGAGTCAATAGAATTTTGTCTTTGAAACTTGGGGTAACAAAGCACCATGCCTCAGATAAAGGTACTATCTCATAGGGAATTCAAAGGGAGCTAAGCTGCTGTTTGGGAGAGAGGAGACCTTGGTAATGGTGTTATGCATCAAGACAAAAGACAACAAAAACTTTTTAGATTCACATTGTTTTCCTTTTGAGGAGCTCCTGGTTACCTTCCAGAAATAACTCATTTTTCCAACACCCTTTAGTGTCACCACGACGCTCTTCTTTTTTTTCTTAAACTGTGGAAACCTAGTATTTCCGCCACACTCTAGATGGTTGCGTCCGAAATAGACTTTTCAATACCTCTTAGCAGCACCTCCCCTTGATCTAAGCTACTTCCGCCACGCTGTGCGTGGTGGGACGCATTTCACACAGTCTCGCCACACTCAAGATGGCCCGGCTTCCTCCTACTTTTCATTGGCTGGATCGCTCCAGTCTTCTGTTTTCATGAAGAGGGCGGGACTTCGACTTGATCGACAGCTATTTTGGTCAATGGACGAAGAGCAAGGACCAATGAAGCGCTGGAATTGGAGACCCTCCCCCGTGTCTAGGAGGGTGTTTTGCCTGGGGCGGGGTGGAGCAGAGCCGGAAGCAGGAGGGGAGAGTCAAACAGGAAAAGAAGGGAAGAAGGAAGAAGAGGGTAGAGGAGGAGAGGGAGGAGGAGGAGGGAGGTGGCGGCGCCGTGGCGGAGGAGCAGGAGCAGGAGGGGGATGGAGAGGAGAAGGCTCCTGGGTGGCATGGCGCTCCTGCTCCTCCAGGCGCTGCCCAGCCCCTTGCCAGCCAGGGCTGAACCCCCGCAGGTAAGGGGGAGGGGGCGTCCGGGCCAGGCTGAGGGCCTGGGGGTCGTCGAGGCCTGGCTGAAGGGGTCTGAGGGAGTATTGTTGCCAAGAGTTGAGGGGTCCCGAGAGGGGCGCCCATGCGTGGCGTGGAGAGGATCTAAGGGAGCGTCGGTATTTAGGTGAGGGATACCTGTGACGGTTTTGGTGGCAGGGAGGTGGTAGACGCATGGTGCTAATCGAGTGAGGGGCCTTTGAGATGCAGGTAAGTTAGGTGGGATGCGTTGACTTGTGAGCGGATGGTGGTGCCAAGCTGGGGCATGTGAAGCGTATTCATATCCCCCCAGTGGAGCAGGCATCTGAGGCAGCAATGCAGGATGTGAGTCTGTTTGTGTAGGGGTACCTATGATATTGAGCTCGTCTGAGAGAGAAAGAGGGGATCCTGAGAGGATATTTATTTCAAGCTGGAGAGGGGAAAGTTCTGAGGGCATCTTGGTCCCATTTTTTATTGGTGTAAGCCATGGCACCCTTGGAGGCAGGTTGTCGGAGGCAAGATCTTGGAAGTCAGGTGGGATGAACTATAGTGGGACCCCTCAGGAGTAGGGACACACTGAGCCCCAACAAGCTCTTGCTGTTAGGCTGGTTGGCCTGGGAGAGCAAGTCACTGATGCAGATCTGAGCTAGCTCAGGGCTTTTGAGCAAAGGGTGTTTCTGATGCCAATATGGACAGCAAATGGAGCACCCCAGCTTTTCTTGCTGGGTGGCTTGCTCTTTATCCAGGCAGAGAAGCTTGCTTGTGCTGATTCCAGCTCCAGCTGGCATTTCGAAACCCTAATGGGAGCGTTACTCTGGGTGCCAAGTTGGGTGGGGTGCAGCAGGGGGAATCA